GTAAGTATATTTCAGTAGCATCTAATGAACGCACAAAGGCTCCTGTTAATTAAGCAGCATGAGTGGCAAATAATTCAGTGAACCCAAGGAGTAGCAGTTGCCACGGTTTTTGTCCAATATGGATGATCCTGTACTCTTGTTCTGGGCCTCCCAGCCAGAACTCTGACTTTTGTGCAAGCAGTCTTACTTATCTCTGTGAATGTGTGTGTGTATGAGAGAGAAACAGAAATGTGTCCGTTGTCTCTACACAGAAATATATCTGCAGTATAAAAGGCTTGCATAATCAAAGGCTTTATATTATGCTCCAAGGCTGTATAATGGCTCTATTTAGCTACCAACCAATGTTTAAATTGCTGCAGTAATACTTGTTCATGTACATTTTAAAATGGTATTTGATTTTAAATCCAATTTATCCAGTTTTATATGCTGCTAATTGGCAGGTTTCTGCTGGTTTCTCTGTGTAAATTAGAGGTCGAGTTATATATTGCCTTTTACTTTATTTGTTTACATTTCAAATCTCCTGTTTTGTATAACAGGCTTTGTATAGCCTATTCTTGTGTAAATTCTTTTTCCAAATGAGTATGCAATGAGTTTATTTTGAAGATAATATGTAAAGGATTGCGGTCTTAGCATAACAATGTGTGATGGACTGTGCACCAAAATGGAAGGTAGTGAGCAATGGTCTGTCATACCTGTGTTAAATTTTGCTCTCTCTATCGTATAAGGCATAGTGCTGTTTCTTCAATCTGCCAGTGTTTGTCAGCTAAAGAAAGAATTGGTTTATTTTCAAAAGCATGTTAAACTTATAACACAATTAAATATCTACTGTTTTCAGACCCAGAATAGACTACATTCGTCTTTCCTTTGGCTACTCTGCAAGCATTCACCTTCAAGCAACTTAGTAGTTGAAATAGTAGGAGAGCTGCAGTTTGAGGAAAATGTGGTAGTGTAAATGTACTGTTTTAATATATGCATGAAGTGTTATTGTAATGGATGTTTAATTCAAACGCCTAATGCACTATACACACAATCCTAATGTACAGTAAACAATTATTAGTACCATACTATGTAGGTTATGAGTAGATTTTCCATCTCTAAACCATTTGTAGAACAAATATTGCACATTTTTCCTATTCTGAGACAATAGGGCTGTAAGATGCGGGCCTTCTATTATCTTTGCATATCAGTGAGATTAAGATGGGGGGGATTGTGTTTTGTCTGTCAGGATGTTTGCATGTGAACCTGGATCCCGAAGGAGTTAAGAGACTGTTTTTGAGAGTGTAATGAAGCTGGTGCCAATGAAAGGCAATCATGTGAAAGAAAGGTAGGGGGAAGGGCTGGAACACCATGAAGGTAATTAAAGCTTCTCTCGCCACCCCTCCCCCTTTGCTTCTTGGCCTTCTCTGGGCTGTCTCTTACTACTTGTCTGAACAGAGGAAGCAGATCAAGCTATTCTAAAGTTCACATCAGCTAAGGAGACATCCGAAAGTGGCCTGGGGTTCCAGTGCATAAAATGTTTATGAGACAAGGGCACAGCCGCCTTCTGTATTGCATTGTTCTGCTGCAAGAGCCAGCGACAGTCCTGACAGGGTCTGAAGGGATGAATCGATACCAATGATGCATTTAGCACATGACAGCTGGCTGACTAGCTTTGGAATGGGTGTCTCACTGTCAGTTGCAGAGTGCAGTTGTAGACTTTTCTTTCTCTTGGGGGAAAAGGATCATTTGAAAATCAAGCAGGGCATTAGAGGGTTTCCTTGAAATACAATAATTCAGCTTCCCCTTCCCCCAGTTGTGAGTGAAATAGTCTTGGCAGTTTCTAAGAGCTACAGCTGCTTAGATTTCTGAAGATCAGTTCCCTCTTTGTTTTAATATCCTGTTGCCAAATTCCAGGGTCCCAGTGCTGCGACCTTTGACCTCTTTTTGTATGTGTGTATGTCTGATCAACATCAAATAAAACCAGACAAGACACATTCTAATTGAAACCTCATCATTTCTTTTTTTCTTATTCCTGTATAATTTCTGCCTAGACCTTTAACATTAAGTGACTACAGTAGATGTTTTTTGGGAACTGAAGACCAACAGTGAATGTGACATAACTAGGCTTGGTAAAGAAACAGCAGCATATGAAATTTTAAAAAAATCTCGAACAAGGTTGTAATGAAGTAGCTTCATAACTTTACGCTATCTATTATCCCATGACCTGAGGCTTTATGAATAAAGATCTGATGTTTTTCTTCCTCACTTTCTGTGCTACTTGGCCAAAACATATACTGGAAAATGTGAAATTAGGGTCCCCATTGTGCTTTTGACCAGTCCCTCTTATTGAGTCCAGTTAAGAGATTATATTTAAGAACTATGAACCTGGGTTATGTAGTTTTGAAGCAATATCTTTTATCTGATACCTGTTTGCTTATGCAGTTTCTGTCACTGGCACATTCCTATAGGCATTTCTAAATTGGATGACAAATATGCTTTCTTGCGTAACATTTTCATAGTCACTGAGCAAAGACAATAGTTGGACTGTCATTTCTCTGAACGGTCAGGAATGATTTTCTTTCTATGTGTTGGGGAAGGTGTGTAGAATAGCTAGCTCCTATTGTTTACAGGATGTTGTATAATGGCAGTTTCTGTTACTGTTCCTTTTCTGTGTTAGAAAGAGTAATAAAAGGATTTATTAAGGCTGATTTAATGGCAAGACTTTTTGTTTTAATAAAGCCCACCTCATAATTTGTATTTTGACAAATCCATATATGGAACTGTAACCTTAGTATTTGATTTTTTTTAATGCAGCTTATTTTTTTCTGCATTATCAAGGGTTAGGGTTGGAGTTATGGAAATGACAGATTATACTGTCTTGTTTTTGTATAAAAATATCAAATTCCCCAAATTTGGTAGGGAAGCTTGTTTTTTATAATGTCCCAACAATATTGTAAACCACTTGATTTGGTACATAGTATTCAATGTCAGTTATATTAAAGCGTTGCCATAAGTAGCTTTCTCCTAAATAGAGATGCCTCTATCTTGCAATATGCAAAAACTAGCTACATTTACTTTAAGATTTGTCTTAGCAGTGCTGTTTTTGTTTCATACTAAATACGGTGTGAGCTGAATTAGAAGAGGTACTTCTATTTGAAGGCTGTAGAAAGTACACAGATACATTAAAAGTTTGGGTTGAGCTTTCTGGGCAGTTTTCACATCCTCAGAAAATTATACATCTGGTAGATAAGGAAGGACATGATATTCCATCCTCTTTGTATCGGTGTCTAATGACTCTGCTGGACTCTCTTGGAGAAAGAGCTGTTTGCTTCTTCTGTCCATCCAGCAGCCTACCTATCCTGCCTACCGCTATTATCAGCTGTGGTTTGCCTGTTGCCGGCCAATTCCATTTCTTCCTGTGGCCCATATTTTTTTCCCCAACTGACTCAGTGTTCCATGGACACTGAATATGCCCAGTTCTCCTTTAAATGTCTTTTTGGGAGGGAGGGTGGTCTTTCCCCCCTTTCCCTCAAAGATATTTTTATAGCTTTAGTAACCTTGGGGAAGTCCCAAGTCTGCTAATGCTTCCCCATTGTGCAGGAGTGCTGGTGGTGCTGTTAATCTCTGAAATGCATTAGCAAAGAAAATAATTGCTAATAATTATCTATGTTTTAGTACCCCAAGAAGTTCTTTTAGATTTAATATTTATTGATATTTTGTAAGCTTTATTATTAAAGCAGCCTCTGTGTTTTGTAGCTATTGTGCAGCTGTGGCTGATGTTTTTGTATTTGTGGCGTAATAAACATTTTCACTCCCAAAGTGTAATCAATATTTTAGTTCTCTTGAGTTTAGGGGAATTACTTAGTCATCCAAAACTGTATTTTCAACTTGGGCTAATTATATTAGGGCTATCACCCAGTTCAATAATTTTTGACTGAATTTCTGGTTGATCATTTTATTTATTTATTTGGTTTGACTTGACTCTGGGCAGCTCACAATATATAAAAAACAAACACAAATACAATAAGATAAATAAAAATACAGTAAGGGAAATAAGCAAAATGGCAAATCTGGACATCTAACTTCAAAACATATGCAACATATAACAAACACATCTAACGAAGTGTTCCATCCAGCCTACCACAAAGCCTGGGGGAACAGCTGTGTCTTTAAAGACTTGTGGAACACCATCAGGATGGGAGCCATTTGGATCTCATTGCAGAGGGCAGGTGCCATGACAGAGAAGGTGCACTTCCTGGGTCTGAAAGATGATACTGTTCGATTAGGGGGCCTGGAGTGCATCCACTCTGTCACTTCTTGCCAGCCAGTCAGAAAACACAGGAGATAAGCAGTCCTTCAGATAACTGGGCCCAATGCCTCGTAGGACTTTAAGGGATAATCAGCACCTTGAATTGACATTTATCAACATATATTTCCATGAGAAGTGCTGCAATAGTTTGAAGTAATCAATTAACTTTTTAAAAATGATCCATTGCAGCAGAGGACATCTTAATGGAGTCATTTGCCCTCGTTTATGTTCCAAAGGAGCTAGAAGCTCTGCCCCCAGCATAATTTGATCTCCACCTCCCTTATTTTACTGTGGTCTAAAGAAGGAGCTTTTTATATGTGTGCATAGCTCATCCTACAGAGTGGTCAGGTTAGAAATCCTCCATTCTTTAGGCTTCTGTTCTCTAACCATGGGCAGCAGGTGGGTGCGACTGAGGGAGACCTGGTTGAGCCAGTAGGCCCAACCCTGGTCTCTCACTTCCCAGGAGTGCCAGAGATGAATAGTGCAGAACAGAGCAAGTTAATTTGTCCTCCTTGTGTGGGAAGAAGCAATGATATGTGTGCTTTTGTAAGTTCTTCTATTAAAAATATTTTATAATTCTAGAAAACCTTTAACCTGATCATTTGGAGCCTCTTTAACTAAAATGCCCTAAATTATACTTCAGTTATTTCTTTTGCTACCTACTTAATTTCAGAATAAGTTAATATATTTCTTTTCATTCTTTTCTCCTCAGGAGAAAATGAGAACAAACATTCTCAACTTGATGAGAACAATTCCACTTGATCATTGCAGGTACTTAATTATACGTTTTGGTCACATTGATACTGGAACTGATGGCAAAAATTGGCTGAAAATAGGGGAAGTAAGCAAGGAAACTGATTCATGCTTGGAAGAGTGCTATATACATAGCAGGACTGGAAATAAACTGTCAGTAATCAGCAAATTTACAAACAGGAGTTTTGTTCAAGCATATTCCGTTTTTAAAACTGAATGGTTTTTTCTATAATTTAATAATCACTTTGTGATTTTCTTTTCTAAGTTGGAGTTGTGTTGCCCTGGAACTTGCCCTAGCAATACTTTAAAGAAATAAGGATTATATATTCTTGTCTTCTAATAGAAAATACTTCAGTGCTATTCAGTCAGTTGCTTAGAGCTCAAGAAGCCAATTTACTCTTCTCTGCTCTCACTTTTTGTTTTCTGTTTTTAATTGACACTCAACATTCAGAGGCTGTTGTACACACTTTGTCTTCATTGGGTGTTTTTGTTTGCTTGTTTGTTTAATATTTCAGATCATTGGAGGGTCCTGGGTCTGCCTTCTTGTTTCTCAGTTCTCCTGGCTCAGTTTCTTTCTGTGAGCACTAATAGCAAACTTGAGGAAGGACGGAATGATGTGAGCATCAATATTCATAGCTGAATCTTGGCACAACTGTATTGGCAAGGTAGGATGCATTCCCTAGCATTTTTGCTAAGCTTTGAAAGGCAAAATCCTAATCCTATTCATTCTGAAAGCATTTGCTTATTCCTAGGCCTATATTTTTTATTATTGAGAAGAAGAAAAAGAAAACACACACACATAGAAAGTGCTTTAACCAAACAGTGAAAGAAATACAACAAAGAAAAAAATGTTAATATATCATTATAACAGTAAACAATTACAATTCTGTATATACTTATCTAATGCAAATATTATTCAAGTACATATATGTTTCTAATACATTTATATGACTATCATTTTTTTAAACTTAAATGGGTCCCATATTTCATTAACTAGGCCTTGTTTTCATGTGTTGGGCTAACATGGAATTAGGCTTTAGCTGAACCAGCAGGAATATGTGGGAAGGAGATAAAGATCTGTGCTAAGCAAAGTAGAAGGCAGATGAGACAAAAGGCTAAAGAGCCTAAATACTCTTATTCACATATAGCATCGCCATTTGGTTAGTGACTTGCAAATAATTTGTATACTACCAGGGTTTTAATTTGTGCTGAATAGGTTACATGGTTTGGAGTGTCCTCCACCTTTAATTTTGTTGATATAGTAAGTTACATTCTGCCCTTTTAGTGCCCATATCCCACTTATGGCAGATAAGGACAGTTATAGCCAGTGCAAGGCAAATATCATACAGTTACAGTTTCAAGAAAAAGAAAGGTCATATGGTAAAAGTAGACTTGGTACAGCAGATAAAATAAAGCATCAAATAACATTTACATTCCATATGAAATGAATGCCTTCCTAAATATTAGAAGATGCCAAACTAGTCTCCTGGGACAGGAAGTTGAATAATTTTGGTGTGGCCATGGTTAAAACTTTTTGCCTTCACCACTTTTGGTATACAGAGCAGGCCCTTTCCATCTGAATGTGAATAGGCTGATATAACAGAAGGATAGGTCTAAGGCATCCTGGATCCACATCCTTTATTGCTTGAAAGTCAGCATCAACACTTTGCCAAATTTTTCCAGGTACAGTTCAATCAGTGGAACTTTGCTGGACCGATATAGTGTGGTCCTGCTTGGAAGTGCCCACCAGCATTCTTGCTGCTGTCTTCTGAATCAGTTGCACTTTCTAAAGTCTATTCCAAGGTAACTTCAAGCTATTGTAGAATGCATAGCAATAATGCAGGGTAATATTCCGCCTTGAGTAACCGAAGCAGTGTAGTTTATAGTGATTCTTGATTTTTCCCTCCCTCTGGATTTCTCTTTCAAAATTTTGATAAATATATTTTTGAAATAAAATACTAATTTTGTTGTGGTTGAATAAAATTTTGCAGTACTAGTACACTGTTTGCCTAATTCAAAATCACTTTAGAAGTGCCAACTGTTAGAGAATGAATGTAGTTTAAAACCATGAAATTTCAGAGTGATTTATACTAAGATGTTTAATTTGAGTCAATTTAATTTTAGTCTCTTAAGTACTCAGTCTGATATTGGTTCTTGAAATGAATTAAATTGATTTTTTTTTGTAAATGACCTTTAGATCCAGAAAGTTTTCCAGTGTGATTGCCAAATAACCTGAAAACAATACTGTGATTCACAAATAACAGTAAATTGGCCATCCCCTTAATCTTGAGAAATTATTATAAACATTCTTTGTCTTTAAGTGATATGAACATATTTACTAATTATTCATTTTTCTTATGTAGCTTATTTTCTTTTAACATTAAATGTCTAGAAATACAAAACAAATGTTATAATACAAATTTCTTGAGATTCTTCTTGTCCTAATAAAATACAATTTACTTTTCAACTCTTGTTTCCTCCTATAAATGGATTTTGTGAAATACCAACACACCTTGGTCTTTTTCTGTTGCATGCATTCTTCCATTTACAGAAGATTTCAGCCCTGAATAAGTTTAGATAGATATTAATAAATTTGTATTATTGAAAAGAGAATTTGTAAGGCTAATTTAAAGGAAAGAATAGAGGGAGCAAATATTTATGTCCCTGGTCTTCCTAGCAATTTGAAGTTAGATGTGGTGGAACTCTTGTGGAGGACAATGAGAACTTCTGTTGACTTGATTTTTAATACAAAGAAGAAATTATAAATAATAAAGCAGCTTTTAGTAGAAAAGAATACAACATAATGAAATAATAAATGCATAATTTGAAAGGATCACAATATACCGACAAAGCAACAGCAACGAGGCTGTAATCTTAAAACTACATCAGAACATAGATAAGATTACTACTAAAATCAGCCCAAATGAGGGATTTCACCATCTCTTGAAAGACAGTTGTGAATTCATTATTTAAGCATTAGTTTTTCATGAACAATTGTATTTGTAGATTATAGATACGTGATTACTTTGCATATCCCATCCTAGAACTTAAATGATCTGTAACAAAAGGTGATGTGTATCTAAAGATTGTGAGCATTTTGCAAGTCTCCGTTGATACTTGTTCTTGTCCCCTGCTGTTGATGATTGGGCTACATTAAAATCTTCACTCAGATAACTCTGTTAAGCTGTAATAACAACAGCAGCAACAACATCTGACTGGTCTGCACCCACTCATTGCCAAGCAGTTTAACAACATATTACAAGGAGGTGAAATTGAAGATTGGTTAACATCTAGCAAAACCTGCCTGATAATGAAAGATCCAACAAAAGGGGCAGTGCCAGGCAACTACAGGCCAATTGCCTGCTTACCAACAGCTTTCAAATTGCTATCACTGTGGTAGCTGATGCAGTCCAACAGCTTCTGGTTGAAAACAAGCTTCTTCCATCTGAGCAGAAAGGAGACTGCTCAATAGGTGGATAAAAGTACCAAATCCAGTTTAAACATCTGGCTGACTGTGTGACCAACAATAATAATATTTTTATCCTGCCTTCTTTAATATATAACTCAAGGTGGCAAATCTTTAACACCATCAAACAACATCTGCCTATTCCAGGTCCTTGGGAAGGACTTGATAGGTGG